GGGGTATTTTGATCGATTTATATTTTGCGAAATATTTTTTTTATATTTTTATTAGGTGCGCCTCACTAAGATGTACACACGTTCTAAATTTCATATCATTCTGATTTATAGAAAAACAATGAAAATTGAAACACTACCGGACAATCGTGACCGTACGATGAACTTTGGACGGTGATGAGCATAGGCAAAATCACTGTTCATTTTCGCCTATTGGCGTTGGGAAGACTTTTTCCTATATATATATATATATACCTATAGTCTTGTATGTATCATAAGTATTATTACTAGTCTTGTATGTATCATGAGTATTATTACTTAATTTTGCATAGACAACACAAAGTTGCTCCTCAATATAACAATATAATCAAATGAAACCATTTCAATTAGATTTTTTTCCCCTAAATACAGAAAGATTACAGGTCTTTCAAAAGCTAGATATTTTCCCCTTTAAATTTGAGAATTTCATCTTAGAAAATGTGCAATTGCAATTGCAGAATATGGAAATTTTAGAGAAACTACAGAACATATAAGAAAGTAGACCCGTGAAGGTAGCACTCGAACCAGAACAAAATAACAATGCAGCATAACTTGCCTGTTGGCAAATACTCGCGCCAGCAACCTTTCCATATCAGGAAGCTTAAACATCTCTTTTCGGAATTCAAGAGCAGATGATAAAGCAGCATTCTGGTGTATATAGAAATCAGGGAAACTTTAGATAATTAGAACAGGGAACCACAAATAAATAAGGCTACCACATATTACATGTATCAATATCAATTGTGTCGTGGCCGCTTGCAAAGGTATGGAAAAATGTCCATGACCACCCAAAGAGTAGATAAAGCGCAACACAGAAAATTAAAGCATCTTAAAAAACTCAAATATCCAAATCAGCAATAACGGGGTCAAAGTTAAACCATTTAGTTTGAACTGGCAGAAAAGACCAATTTTTCAGAAGATCCAACTCGCAAACAGATCAGATAAGACTTGGAACATATTCACTTTAAAATATAAAAAATCTGCCAATGCATTTGCTTTAATTGTGACTGAAAAAATGGGAAAGGGAAAAACCACAAGAACATATTATCATAATCGTGACAGTATTAAAATGACAGTGTTTCACTAAATGCAGAGTTCCATATGACTTTGCAAGCAGTGAATTATCAACCATAATGCAGAGTGCATCTCCAAAGACATTTAAACCAAAATACAGTAGAACTATTACGAAAACGTGAAGGACTCACCTTCAAATCGGCAATGGCATTTTGACGGTCCAAAATTGAATCTATGTCGTTAAGAGGCCTTGCCAGCCAATTCCGAAGAAGCCTTTTCCCAAAAGCCGTCACACAGTGGTCCACTTGGGCAAACAGCGTTCTAAAAGAAAACACTGTATTATCAGGAAGCAATCATAAAGAATGAACCCAAAGCAGCGCAACTAAATTTCTGAGTTTCGTATCTACCCTGCGGTGCCTCTGTTGCAATTATTCTCAAAGATCTCAAGATTCTCTAAAGCAGCTGCATCAAGCGTCATATATGACCTCTGTGGGGCATTTGAAACCCCCAGAGAAAGAAGTGACTCAAACTTTGCAAACCTGAGAACAGATTCATCCAGATATGCCTGTCTCAAATAAAACAGGCAGCCCCCAAAAGCTGAAAGAGCATATTGACCATTCTCGCCTGCACCTACTAGCTCAGATATGACAATAGGTAGATATTCAAGCTCACTCTCACCAATATGGGGATTCTCACATACCCTTAAATTCTCTGTATCACTCAAACATCCAAGTGCTATATTTTCCTTAAACAATTTATACAGATTCGTGAGCTCTGAAATAGTTCTTTCAGCATCCCAGAACTCTAAGCCTGGAACTAATTCATTAACTAAAGGGTCTCTTGTGTGGACAATCAAAACCTTTTCAGTTTCAGGATGAAGAGCACCAGTAGGCTTGATAAGCTCCACAGGCCTCAACTCCGATAATATTGAACATAATCGACGACGTTCTGCATCATCACCAAACTGGCAGGCAGTATTTTAGTTAGTGCACTAATAGTATGGTATTTGAACCATCAAAAGGAACAAACACGCTATTACATTCAACTGAGCAATGAATTGCCAACACTATCTCAGGCCACAAAATTCAGCCTAAAAACATCTTATGAATGTTGAGAAAAAAAAAAGAAAAACTAAAAACAATTAGTCAAATCAAGTGCTCAACTGATGTCCTTGACGCTGATATCCAATACAATGTTACCTGTCCAAGCATAAATTTGCTAGTGGAAACATCAACTATGCAGATACCCAGGATCGTATCGTCATTTTTCTCATCCATCGATGTATGAATATCTTCAGTCACTGACATCAGATAAGAAGCATCAGGGTTCATAGACATCATCTCGCCTTCTGCAAGCGTACCCTTCGTAATCACAGCGCATGCTTCTCGTTTGACAACCTTCAATGCAGAAATGTGTCAGACCACAACACATGACACACACTATATAGATACAGACACACAAGCACACATGCATATTTAATGTAAATGTGTCTGGTATTATAATATCATAATAAGCAATCAACAAATATCATTGCTTTTTTTTTGGGTAATTCAGTGGGGAAGACAAGCCCCTACCCGTTTTTTCAAGTAGATTGGGAGTTAGCTTTTTTGAAAGTATTAGTGGTGTGGTGTGGTGTTAGTGGTGGGAATGGAAACCACAATGTGGTGACTATGGTGTGGGGTACTACCACCACGACCCCAGCCCCTTTCCCAACAAATATCATTGCTTACAAAAAGAATTATGCACAAGTACAATTATCAGATAATTACATGCAGTTTCCAACAGGAAATAGAAAAAAGCAAAAGAATACCATAGACTATTGATCTATGGTAAGGCTAGTTGGTCAGGGTAGAGAGGCCCCACAACATGGCATCTTGAGTTCCATTTCCACCATGAGCAGGGGACACCTTCCCAACTGAACTACCCAAAAAAACAAAAAGATTAATTATCTATGGTATCCTCACAATTCCTTGGGTCTGGTTCATCACTGTCCTATGAAATTGACAGCGATGGGCAGAAAAAACCCACAAGAACAGAACCTAAACTCAATGTTGGGTCCAACTCTCTTTCCATTGCTGTCCATCTCATCAAGATGGTAATGACCTAATGGACTTGAGTACACCAAAAGGCACTCATCGTGTTACAGAATATTTTGAATCCATACTTATCATGGACATTTTGTGATGAAGACATCCATCCATTTATGCATGAATATCATGCAACCTATGCATGAATATCACGCAACCTTTTATGGATGACGTCTTTTCAGATGCCCAACCATCAAAAGCAAACAAAGACCAACCTTGTCTTTAGAACCCATTTCCCTGCGACGGAGCTCTAACTGGTCAGGTGTTTCAATTTGCTCAACAACAAGAACTCGATAACCCTGTTCTGTCAAGTCATTTTAGAGGAAGATCATCCAAGTGTAATTTGCACTCCATAAAATGAACCCATGAAAGAAAAAGCCAGAATACATGAGTGCCAATATCCCAGACTAAGATCTAGCAAGTGTAGAAGTGGAAATTAGTATAAATCGAGATAACAAATAAAACAACAAAAGATTAACGATCCTCATGTATTTACCTTTCTAGCCAATTTTTCCACATTGACAGAGAAATTCTTTTCTGGAAACCCACAATGTGGCTGCTCTCCCTGGATATATGGACAGAAGCAGATGGCTATCACAGGAAAAATAGAAATGAAAAATAGGAAAGGATAGCCAAATCTAACGTGGAACATGGAATCCAGAAGCACAAAGGTATTTCCCAGAAGTGCTAATACACCATCCAGTACTGGCAATCTTAACCACTTACAGTATAGCTATATAGCTAGATATCCCTCACTGGGCAATGTTCCATTTCATTTCATTGAAGGCATGCATGCCGGTTCAAATTGTAAATGTAACAAATGTTTGAGAACATAGCTGCAAGAACCAGCATAAGCTGAAATCCTGCAAAAGCCCATCATATGCTGAAAAGGTATGCTATGATCGAGATATCCACATGATATCCACGTCGACTGTGTTTCATATGGTCCATCACCACCTGATCAATGGGTTGGATGCTGATGTAGAGAGAGAGGGACATAGATTGAAGTCATGTTATGGCCCACTCTGTCTCCACCACTGTCCAACTCATTGATTGGACAATGATGATCCTCATATCACATATCTGATGTGATCACATGGATCATAGTATGCATTCCTGATCTATAGACCCACACAATATCTTCAACCTTTCTGAGCCAAAAGGAGACCTAGAAGGGACCACTAAGGATCAAAAAAACAACATGGCAGTGCATCAGAGTTTGCTCAAATTCCCACGCTTAGCTTTACCGCTAATTTGATAATGCTAAATATGTATGTATTTACCTCCATATATATGTATTTATACGCACATATGCAAAGACACACACACAGAATGTTATATCTTTCCCAATGAAATTGAAATATACTAGGTATAAGTCAATAAACACATAGCTAATGGCACACACAGATTTTGATTACCCTACCCATTCCTAGAATCTGTTGTGAAGAATACTTTTCAGGAATTAAAAAAAAAAAAGGAATTAATGTTTAATCATAATATTAATAAAAATGAACAGCATGACATCCATGAAGCAACACACAGAAGAAAAAAATTCCAGTATACTAATTAGCAAAACATGACTGCATACCGCCATGTACTGTAGCTCGAGTTCCTTAGCTCCTGTGTGAGCATCCATTTCGAACAATTCATAAAACTTGCCCATCTGCACAATGGAACACATATTCAGAAGCATTTAAAGTGAACTTGTTTCTAGTTGACTCCACAAGAGATCAAACTTACCTTGAAAAATAAAACCTTGTCCATATGCTTTGACTTGAAATCCCACCATTGACGCTACACATAAGAAGATACTTGGTCATGAAGAAAACAAAAAGGGAAGACATTTGGAAAAAGATTGCTAAAAGGAAATCAACTACCTGAGCACCAGTCAAACCCTTCAGAAATTTCTGAGGTAAATAAAGAGTTTTAGAATCATAATTTAAATCTCCAGGTTTTCTTCCATTGGCATCCCGACGTCCTCTGCAGTTTTAAATACTAAATCCTCATCAAAAAAAAATTCAAGCTACAAAGAAGCCCATGCCACAATGTATACAATACAATATTTTTTACATACTTAAATATAGCACTATTTAGATGCTTGGCAACATATCAAAACAATACAAGTTTTCTTATACTTTCTCTGTCATTTCAAAACCTGGCTCTAAGACAAGGGGAAGAGCTATATGACTTCATATTGAAGCTCCTGGAACATTAAAGATAATCCAAAAATGATAGTTTGCATTCGTTCAAAACTTTCCCAACTAAGAGTTTTGATTCATTTTAAGTTTGCCCAAGCTCTGAAAATTTTGGAAATGTTTAATCTGCACAAACAGGACTCGATCTACTTGGAACTTAAGACTCCAATCCCCACCACAACCCACATTCCCTCGCCCCAACACACACCCAAAGAAAAGGGTAAAAATAAAAGTAAAAATAAAAATGCATGCAGGAGATGACAAAATCCACACTAAACTGAGGTCCATATGGTGGTTACTATCAGTATTAGTTTCAGGCGATCATTACCGGGAACTGCCCTATCAGAGCCAAGGGGAAGTCAGCCTATGCATAAAGCACTCGTCTCATTAGAGACCCAAGCATCTGAGGTAGCTGCCTGGATTTTTCCTACTTGAATAATCTGACCAATAAGCTGGGATGAAAGACACCCAACAAAGAATATTTGAAAACACAGACACCTCTGTCCATATGCAACTCATGTGTAGAAGCTACATCCCCGAAACAGAAGGCGCTGTTATCATGCTCTTAGAAATGAGTGAAACCTTTGCATTTACATTACAAAATATTTGAAGCACCAAGTTTTTCTATGTCCAAAATGCATGACTATTAAGAAGAAGTAAATAAATAAACTTGTTCATAGAGATTACAATGGAGGATCCCACTCGAGAGCTTAAAAGATAATTGATAAGGGCTACATGGTTAAACATGTGTAACAAAAGGACATCCTCATTTCCAGACATCTGAATTTTCCAATAACCAACTAAAATTTTCTTTTTTACCATAATATAACTGGTATAAGAATGAATTTCCTCAAAACTTAACAGCCTCAACTTTATTTGTTTTATCACTAAGAGTTAATCTTCATGACGAAAAAACTACAATTTTATATTGCATTCTCCTATTGGAAGCAGTACTTAAATAGCCAAACAAGTCAAGTGGTCATTTAAATTAGAAAACAGGGAAATCTGGTTTCGCAAAGGAAAAGAAAAAGTCCAGCAACTGTAGACCTAAAACATGACACAAATTCAAATCTGTGATCATAAAGCACAGTGCCAAAGGAGTTAACTTGCTTATAGGATGGGTGACTAACTGACAACAGATTTTATCTTATTATTATTGGTCTATGAAGTCAAATGAAAAGAAACAGAACAAGATTGATAGTGATGCCAACTTACGTTCCAAGGAACTCAAACTTTTCTGCCTCACGGGCACAGAACCGCCCTGCCACATCTGCTGTGAGACAATCCTTGGGTAGACATTGTTTCAACTCCCCTGCAGTAAATGATGCTTAAGTTTAAATAATGACACTGAAGTTTAAATAGTAAAACCCATAAATGCGTGGGATACTTATCACATGCTAAGAAGGCCAAAAATGAAATTGAGGTTTGTCCAACCAACAAATCTAAAATATGAACGAGAAAAGTGGAAAACACAAATAGCTCGATGCAGGTGGATTGAAACTATATCAATAAAAAGTATATGTCATCTGAAACACACTTTTTGATCTACTAATAAATATTGTTATCTGCCTCTGAAAGGACTGAGAAAACAGCTTGATTCAAGGAAAGCAAATCTAGAAAGGAAAACTTATTGAAATAGATTAGAATAGCAGATCCCATGCTGCAGAGTAACATTTTTACTATAAAATAAGAAATGTTAATGTTTGTGGATCAAAAGACTTTAACTGAGCTTTCTAAAGTTGAATGTTCCATAAAACAATGAATAAGAATATTTAACTATATACATAAAAGTTCAGAAATGCAAAGGTATAGTTTGCTCTCACTTGACTGTATCATTCAGATTATCCACTAGAAATAGGATAAGAATAATAATATAATCATAGTCACTATAAACAATTCAAGTAGATATATCATATTTTTTATAATTTATGAGTAAGTGATTAGCAAAAAATTCAATAGCACACCAAAATATTGGGAGAAAGGACTTAAGAACACGGTTTCTATGAGTCCATCTAGAAATCAGTCACCTCTTAAAAATCTATTTTTGAGATGGATTTTTTTACTTAATTTTTAAGATGAAATAGCAAACATGGAGATCGTGAATATGAAAAGATAAATAAATTTTGAAAATTAAAAATAATAATTCTATTAAGAAAATATTTGGACTGTTAGTTTCAATTGTTTTTAGATGGACCACCTAAAGATGGATGCTTTATACCTCAGGGACCGTAAAGGTAGAAATGCCGCATGAAACAATTTTCCTTGGCAGAAATAAGAGGCAGAGAGGAAGGAAATTATTCCCTTGGACTGGTTCTTCTCCTTCTAGTTCTCCCTCTTTTTTATGTCAAATAAATATAGGAAATTTAAATTTGACTAACAATTTGGGTACATATGAACTGCCAATTTCCTGCAATTCAAATTTGCGTAAAATTCTAAAATGAACTGCCAATTCTCTTGAGCGGTTTATGTACTTTGTATCCACGCAATCCCACATACAAACAGCTCCATAAAAAAACATGGGTAAAGAACCAGTATAGTCTACCTGAGGTAATGCATTGCTAATCTTACCATGGACATTGTTTGGAGTCTTTGGACTCTCAGAGACTGCATTCCCCTTGTCTTTGAAGTTGAATTTTTGTGAATCTCCCGACTTCTCAAACCTGCCCTCTGTACCCCCTTTCGGTTTACGCCCACTCCTGGAGCCCAAATTAATGGAATCCTGCCCTTTTTTTCTCTTTTTCGATGCTTGGCTTGGGTTTTTCAATTCCAAATCAGCATCATCTGAATCATCGCTAATTCCATTTTTGACATTCTTATCCCAATCTTCATCCAAATAATCGTCACTGATACCCCCACTGACTGATAATTCCTTCTCTTCTGTCTCATCCTCAAATGATATTGCGCGCTTATCAGTGTCTGAAACCCTTCTAAGGCGACCACGCCTCTTTGAGGGTGGCTCAACCCACTCAATCTTCTCCCTCTCCAAATCCAATTCCTCTTCCTGAGCATCGTCATAAAGAACAATATGCTTCCCACTAGGCTTATCATGAGCCTTGATACAACCTTCATACCACTCTTTGTCCAAGGGCCAGTAAACCCTAATTCTCCTCCCCACAAATTCCTCGCCATACAGAACTCCCTCTCCATTTGAAACAGTCGTACAGCCATTTGATAACGGTGATGTCCCCAAATTTCGTGAAGATTTTGATGCCAATGCAGGACTCATTGAAGACCCAGACTTGAATAAATTTACTGGAGATTCAAAGTTCGAACTCGTGTTTGGAGAAGAACTAACTACTCTCCCTGAATCATCTAATTTCCGTGAAGATTTTGAGGTGGTTTTTGAGGCAGATTTGGTTGGAGCTGATTCAGCCAAATTTACAGGAGAACCAGAATTTAGGGCAGAAGTTTCTAGTGGAGAAAGTGAAGGCCCAATACATAGAATGGATTTTTCCTTCGCTTGAGGTGGAGATGGTGCGGGCTTACCAGGAGAGAAGAAAAAGGTTATTGGGCGTTGTTGGGGAGCAGGTGTACCGCCACTGCTTGTTCTCTTTGTAGGAGCCATGAGAGAGAGATTGTGATATTCGTTTGATACAAGTTTATGGTGAGGCTTGAAGCAGAGAGAGAGAGGGAAGGAGGGCACACTAGTGAGCGAGTTTGAAGAAAGGAAATGAACGAGAGAGAGAGAGAGATGGGTGAAGAAACGAAGAGAGGAGGAGCAGTTAGGGCAAGAGCAATGGCAAGAGAGAGCACAATGCAAGAAATGCGCAGGAAGTAAAATGTGTGTGTGAGAGAGAGAGAGAGAGGAGAGAGTGAGAGAGACGAGCTTGGGGAAAAGAATTTAGGGTGAGCGAGAAAACATATGGACAGTGTGGGGGTGTGTTTCAGGGGAGTGCATAGTAAGCGACGATAGAAAAAATTAAGAGAGAGAGAGAGGCGTGCGTGTTACAGGGAAGTGTAAGAGAGACAGAAGTATGGGGTTTCAGAGAACCCTCAGCATTTTTGGCGGGAGGTCGCAGTAATGTTGGCGGCAATGGACTCCTCGTAACATTATATACTTGGAGTTAAATTGTTAACCGTAGTTAACATTTCTTAACCAGACCTACTTTCAAAGAAGGAAATCAGAGTCTTATTCGAAGCGTATGATAAATGCTACCGCGAGATCATAATGTATCCATAGTAAGCTACTTTAGATTGTGTTTTGCCTCAAAATCTGGGAGATGTCGTGGATTCCCATAAACATAAATTCTCTTTCCATACTAATTTTGATTTTTTAGACATGCAGTTTCTATTAAGCGTAGCCTTTATGAATAGAGTAAAGTCTTACCTCGAATCTTCATCATTTAGAAAGCACTTTGCATTGGAGATCTTCATGATGCTCTAAAATTAATTTTTAATGTAGGGATGTGAAATTTAAAGCTCAAAAAGTCATACATATTTTATGGATCCATGAACACTATTTTTAGGGTGAAATGAACTATCTAGATATGCGTCACAATATATTGTATTCTTTGGACTTTAAATCCTAGTTTTTTTCACATTTATAATGGTCAACACAGAGAACTGTAATTTTATTTGGGTTTTGAAGTGAAGTTTTACTTGTTTTGATAGAGTTGCAATCCTATCAAAATATTTTTTATTTTTAGCACATAAAAAAATATAATTTTTTTTTCTTTTAGTTCTTTTCAGGGAGGCTACTAAATAGAAGAAATCCCATCTGCAACGTTATTTTAATTTTCCAGTATAACAAACAAGCGATACGCTCGTATGTAAAACCATTTCACGAAAAAAAATACGTATCTTTGGCTTTAACGTACCAGGGCAAGGGCAAATAATGAAACAAAAGATTGGGATTATGAGAACAAACACGAGGGAATCTCTGTGCATATAAAATACCAGAAACCACCTGGAACTATTTTTTTATTCATTGTTGTTGAATATGGAGCAAAGTACCTGAATTTTGTAAGAAATGCACAATTTCATAGTTGACAGATGAGCCCCCAAGAGGAGCAAATAGAGAAAGCGTCTACTCTCTATTTACTTGCCTCACGGCCAGTGGTTCAGAACTCGCCGAACCTACTAAAGAATCATCATAATTATATTGGAGGCCATTTTAATAGATGAAACCAGTGTTTTAAAAAACGTCGAGTCGAACTAGTTCGATTCGGAAATCGTAAAAAGTGGATCGTATCGACTAAAAAATCGGAAATCGTCCGATTCTAGAGAGAACCGGACGATTCTGTATAGTGACTCGTCGATTCACTGTACGGAATCGGCGAGTTTGAACAGTGAATCGGAGAGTCCCGTATGTTAATTTTTTTTTTTTTTTTTTTTTTTTTTTTTTATTTTTTTTTTTTTTATTTTTTTTAGTACTCTATGTATAGTTTATTTTTTAGTA